TCTCATAGTTCTCTACCCTTAGTTATGCACACTACGTTATAATAGATGCTATACTAATTTGGTTATTCCGTTAGCAACACCTCGCAACAATCGTCGTGACTACCAGTATAATAAAGATGATCAGAATGAAAGAGTGAACAAATTGTTAAATACCTGTAGATTTTAATAGCGGGTCGGTTTCAAAATGTCCGTACGTGTGTTGAAACCCCAATTAAGTTGGCAATATTGAACATTAAAAAATTGTTATGACTCCTACAATGGTATTGATGGTATATATCGATCAATGGTTTGGTTTAGCCTCCCATACAACGGTATTTCCATTGTTCGTGGGAATATTAGTACATTTTCAAATATTCTCAGAATTTATTTTAAGTGCACAGAATTTTTTGTTTAAGTGCACAATTCAAAACTGCACATTAAAAATCATTACTTTATTTTTTTGCATTTAGATATACAGATATTATCGAAAGTTTAAAAATGGTGTAATTTTTATGCTGTGATTTCAGAAATAATTACAAGTGTTGTTTGCGCAGTTAAGTCTAAACTTCGATTGATTTAATAGCTGTGAGGCGTTGTAAAGGGCTCGTTTATGATTAAAATTGCCATAAAATGTTGACTGGGGTAGATCTATACCTACAAATGTGTTCATCCCGGTTGAAATATTCAAATAAACGATACATTTCAATAAGTATTGAATATTTTATTAAAAACAAAAATAATATCCGCATACAATATTAAACATTATGAAAAATAATTAGAACTGGTGGAAGTAGCTGCATTTAAGACGGTCTTATTATTTTCATTAGTGTGATTATACAAATAATTATGTTCAGCTATTGGCATTCGAGTATTAGATACATGCCCTGCTGTCGTCGGCACCAAAATGTTCAACATCAAATCACTCATGCGCGCACGAAATTGTAGATTTTGGAAATCGTTCATTTTCTTCATTTGTGGCAGAAAACTAACCAAGAAATTATAATCAGAATCGCCAATATGATTTGTAGCACGCTTCATATCATCTTGTGTGGATTTCATTAGATTGTGTTCTTCTTGTTCAAGATTTTCCAAGAAATGGACATTTTGTTCACTCCTCGACCCGCATTTACAATTTTTGGTGGTGCTATTATTATTAGCACTGGTCGTCTGATGGGTGGTCCGATTTTTTGTTGTACTAACGTTAATATCTGTCATATTTGTATGTTCTATGGGATCGGGAATAAGCGGTCTGGATGTGGGTATATCCCTAAATTCTTGTTCCGGCAACGATATACTTTGAAACTCTTCTGGTAAAATATCCAAATTATCAAAATCATCTTCATCATCATCCTCAATTTCTATTCCCTCATAATGTTCATCCGTTTCATTGTCATCATGATCATCGGTAAATTCTTCAGCCGAATATATTCCATCTTCTGCAATTTGTGTGGGCTCAATTTTAATTTCCGAAACGTCATTTAATTGTGATTCATTAAAATCATTTTGTAATCTGTCATTTTGTTCGGCATTTAATTCACGGCGACTTCGACGTTTACGTTTATTGTCTCGTATAAAGTGTAGATCCTTGTAGTAAATCCATTTGCTATCGTAATCAATTTGTGGATCATAAACACCCAAGTTTTTATCGGTTTGTTTGCGAATTTCTGAACGTCTCACTAAGGCGCGATAAGCATCTCGCAAATTTTTCCATTTGCGCCGACATTGCTCAACTGAACCGGTTGTAGCGTGATCGAAAAAAAAAACAACAATACAACCATAACACAGCAAACAAGTTGTAGCCATTAAAACAGCGATATGAAAGTAGAAAAAGAGAAACATGGCGAATTCATAACGTATTGTTGTTGTTGTTGATTTCAGTTGTGTATACCAGATTATGGTGATATTGTTTGTATGTTTTTGTGTGTCTTTTTTTTGTGAACTTAACCTTTCAAATTTTAACGAATAAGTCTTTGTTGTTTGTGTACTTACCATCTTCGACGCCAAGAGCTGTTGCCACTTCTTTCCACTGCTTGCCGACCGTTTTATATGATTTGTTGTGAACGTGTTTTAAATCCCACAATGCAGGCCTGATGCGTACTTCGTAAATCAACTGCTTGGCATCTATTTCGTTCGACATGTTTCGCTCAACTAAAGCCAATTCGTTATTGTTGTTCGTTGTATATGCCCACACAGACATTTAGACAACGAAGTTGGTGAGACAAGTATACGTACGAAGAGAATACGTTCCACGAGTTTATATCAACTCTCGGTGTATACTTGTTGTTGATTAATAGAAAAAAAGTGTTACCACAATAATTTGTTAGTGTCGATTGTGGGGCCACGTATGGTAAATTAAGACCAAAGACCATAACTAATAAAAATCTGATTTATCAGAAATAAAAATATAAGTTTTGTATATTAAAATAAAACATTTTGGGGAAAGTATAGAAGATATTTTGCAATATTCTGTACTTTCCCCAAAATCATATAGACAATGTGCAGATTAAAAAAAGAAATTATTATTTTTTATTATTATCGGTGAGAATGAAATACCAAAAACAAAGTCTCATGTTGGAAAATTTAACTATGTCCTTCAGTATAGCAAAAAAGATAGGTCCTTTTTAAAAATTTTCCAAGTAATATTTATGAATATGCAATGTGTAATTTTTGGGAAAAAGTCTACTTCGACTTTTAGACTTTTCAATAAAAAAAGTCGATTAATCGATTTACTTATCACTAATCAGAATATTTAAAAATGGATTGGACCATTATATGGTGGATATGTCATAGCATTAACCAATAATATGCCTGACAATGCCACAGAAATAAGTTCCTATCGTATTAACCCATTCAGTTTTTTTGTCGAATATATTCGACATTTAAAAGTACTCTCTTTCTTTGTGATTTTTCGTTTATCCTATGTACTTTTACTATTCATGCTTTTGTTTTTGCTGAAAGACAGATGAAACTGGCCGAGGGTCAAAATGACAATGGCTATTTTTTCTAAACTATGATTTTAAATACAAAATTTTAGATTTTTATTCCGACAACATTTTTCTTTGACACTGAAAGGGTTAAGCTTCTTCAGAAAGCAAAAAACAATTTTTTTCAGAATGAAAGCTGATCTCGAAAGAGAAATTACTAAAAAAATTACATGAATGATCCTTCGCCCTAAAAAGGCATAAAACTTAAAAAAACTCCAAACCCATTTTGATTTTGTAAGTGGAATTGTATTTTTTTTTCTTGGGCCAAATCAGCGAATTCGTCATCGAGTTCTGTTTCGTATAGAGAAACATTTCGATCGTTGTAAATTTTTGGATCACAGAATATTCACAGGATGTTAACCTTCAGATTCTACGAAGACCCCGGAAAATTAATGGGTATACTGTTACATTTTCTGAGTGAATACCAATTATGACCAAATTCTTCAATGTTTTAAGTTTTTCATTTATTTCATGTTTTAAAGATATGTCAGTCGTTCTATATTTACAATGTGACAATAGTAAAGTAAAAAGATTCTTAAATAACTAAAATTTTAGTCTGACAATATTCTTAATTGATAATTTGTTCTCTTATCTACGATTTGTACGATTGACCAAGTGTGGATTTGGTGTTAGCGTTGGTAGTGTTTGGTTACCGGCTGCAACGCCATTTGTTGTTGATGGTGGTATAAAAATATTCAATATCAATTGCGACATTTGCGAGCGGAATTGTAAATTTTGCAAATCATCCATTCTTTTCATGTGTGGCAAAAAACTCATGAGAAAATTGCGATCAGGATCTTCGGCGCCATGATGAGGGGTGGACGCAGTCGAACTCATATCATCTTGTGTGCATTTTATTAGTTTCTCTTCCTCCTTTTCAAGGTTCTTAAGGAAATGAATTCGCTGTTGCTGTTGTTGCTGATCGTGTTGTTGTGAGAGCGCTGCAGCTGATTCGTTTTTGTTGGTATTATCCGTCAGTGGTGACGACGGTGGTTGATTAGCACTGGAATTTTTTGGTACAATTTTGACTTGTATTGCAGCTGGTAAATTAAAGGTAGTTAGACCTTTTTGTATGTTTTTACTAGCTGGCGGCGTTGTTGTTGCTGCTGTTTTAATTTCTTGAAAAGTAGGTACACAATTTTCAATGTCACTGTACATTGTTGTATTTGTTTCTCGCGACGTATTACTTTCGTCTATTAAATTCGTGGTAGTGTCTTCAAATTCTTGTTTTATAGCTAACAACTCATGTAAATTATCGCTGTCATCCAAATCAAAATCGACTTCTTTTATAGAATACATTCCATCATCTGTCATAACATTCTCCGCATCCATACTATTACTGGAAGAATTATTTTTGGACCTGTCATCTTTGTCCGAAACACTGTCATTAGCAGATTTTTTCAAACGAACAAATTCTCTAATAAAACTCATTTCATTCAAATAGACCCAATTACTAATATAAGTTTTATTGGGTTCATATACACCTAACGATTTGGATTTCTCTTTTTGACGTTCGGCATTGTTGAGACAGGCGCGATAGGTGTCACGTAAATTTTTCCATTTTCGCCGGCATTCGTCAACTAAAAAATATGAGAGTAAATAATTGTTAACATTTACGTTGTAATACTAAAATTATCCTTTATCTACTCACCATTAGCAATTTGAAGCGCTTTGGCGATATCCTTCCACTGTTTTGTTATTGTTGCATGACATTTGTATTTCACATGGTTGGCATCCCACAAAACCGGTCGTGAACGTACTTCGTTGATCAGGCGTCGCACATCCATATCGCTTGCTTGTTATCGCTCAACTAAAGACGCTCCATTAGTCCGCTTATTTTCTCTACCTAGCCGATAGAGCACAGGAAGAGACAAGGGATGGGCAAACGAAGAGAGAGAGAGAACTCTCTTCTGTTTTGAATACACACCAAGAGAGTGGTGTGCTAGGCATATTTGTTGATCCTTGTTTGTTTGGAATCCAAACTTTGGAATTTCATTGCGTTATCTCTTTCTTTCTGTCTGGATGCATGTAGAATGGAAAGAATTCGGAGCATGCCAATCATAAGGAGAAATCTTCTTGTTGTTTGAAGTGGAATTTCTAAACAAGCTGCTCTCTACCTGACACTGTTTTTATTTGTCAAATTTGTCCGTGAAAAGAGGAAGAAACATATTATGCGCTATGTTATTATTTATGCATGTTTTGAGGCGAATTCGTTCTCTCGGAGTTGTAATTACCATTGATGTGTTGACAACAGCGACGGAAAGTACAGTTGAAATATAGCAGATTTGCATGGAAAGCGTTCTTAAACTCGCAAAATATTGAAAAATGGGTGGTACGTTTAAAGGAGACCCACCCCGAAACTTTAGTTAATGAGAATTCAAAAAGAAATCAAGATACTAAATTACAAGCAATTTATTTGAAAAAGAGCACAAGATCCCCAAATAGTGGACCGAAATTGATCATTTTGGTAAGAATAATGCTAACCCAGAATAAAAATTACAGTCAATTTAATTGAAGGTGAGATTAATATCTTCAAATTGTATTATAAGCAATGTAGGTTAGTAAAAGTCAAATTTAATTTATTATTAATTTTTACATGCATTTACAACGACTATTTTTATATTATCGGCAATAACTCCTAAGTTTCCGAACGGCCGCAGAATGTGGACAGATAATATGTCTAGGCGCCGTGCTTGACACTAGATTCGGGTACTCTTTATACCCTACACAACTATGTTGTCAGGGTATTAAAGCTTTTTGTAACGCCGCGAAATATTGGTCCTAGACCCACCTTCAAGTATACCGATCGTCATATCTCGACTAGCGATCGAGATATGTGTGTCCGTCCGTCTGTCCATTATAATTTGTAAACACAATACAGGCCACAGTTATGGACCAATCCTGACGAAATTTTGCATGTAGAATGGGTTCTGGCCAATGAAGACCCCTTTTTGGCAAATATCGGTTAATATTTAGGGGATGAAACCAAATACTTAATTTTTTCGGCCCAAACATCGCGATTTTTTGCATGGAGAAGGGGATCGGGCCAAAGAATAAGCATGCCTGTTTTGATAAATATCGGTTAATATTTACGGGTCAAATGGACCCTTACTTTTGTGTGGAAAATGGCAAAATTTGTTTTCTATGGCGTATATATTTGCCCCTGAAGCATCTAGACCCGAGAAGTTGATAGTATGTCCAAGAGAAGTGGTTGGCCTTTAAATTGATACCAATTATATGGTCGTATGTACTCAAATGTGGGAGTTACACTTAAATATTTACAGGTGCTTACGAATTCAGACACTATTCAGTAACCCATTATCACACTAGATAGCCGAAATATAGCGCTGATCGCTTTGAAATTTTCCATGAGATTTCAATTATGGTCAAGGATGATCAGATAATAATTTTGGGATGAAATGGACCGAAAATTTAACTCTTTTTTTAGTCGATATATAGGCCGCAATTGAAAGCCCAATGTCACAACGCAACCTACGGTAAAGAGAATCTGTAGAGCCCTCGTCTACTGAATATTAGTAATATTTGTTAACCTTTAGTCGGGTGTAAAGAGGGTGCAAATAACGCAAAGTTAGATTTTCGTGGAAGTTGTGTAGGGTATCATATGGTCGGCTCGTCCGACTATACTGCACCGCTCAATGATTTTTTTTGAAAAAAATCAAATTGAGTTTTAAATAAGAAATTTTTGATGATTATTACTAATAATGTTCACCATCATTATAATCATCATTTCGAACTGTTTAATTGACCTTCATTTCATGTCAATGTTATATAACATTTTCCGAATGTAACTCATATAAACAAAAATATGAAATTTTGATTTGATTTTGAACTCATATCATTTGTAAACCGTGTAAGCAATGATACGTGGGCTGTTCGGAAACTTCTTAGCCTAGCACAAAAAGCGCAGTATAAACAGAAAAAAGTTAAGTGTTTTGGAAAAGTTTCCATCTCTGTTATGAACACATGTTAAATTTTGTGTTTTACCGTTTTACCGCAAATGAAGATGTAATTACAGTTGTAAACCACTATTTTGGTAGAAAAGCGTTGAACTAAGTGTATTGAATTTTCAGGAGTATATATTGAAAAATAAAAATATTTTTGAAAAACTAACTATTCTCTTTCATTGATAGGCAGTTTCCGAACCGCCCTCGTATTAAATTTTACTGGTGTGAAGCTCAAACTCTCCAGACTTTAAATATATGTCGTTATTTTCCTCTCTACCTAAAATTTACTTTTTGCCAAAAACTGGGTTACTGGTCCTTAGTGCAACCAATCAAATTTATATTAAAAACCAAAATGTTATTATTACAACTTTATTTCAAAATTATTATATTTCATTCATGTGCAAATGTAACTCCCATTAGTAGAGTTCTTAATTCTTGATCGGACATTATGACCATTTGTAAATATCTAGACAGAATAAATTTTCGCTGATGTGTCGATGCCAAATTTCCAGCCTGAACAAGAATTTCGGCCGTCAAATATTCAATAACGGCAGTTAAATATGCTGCTGATCCCATTGTAATCCTTTCAGCATATTCACCATTTTGCAGCAGTTGCCGAATTCGTTTGACGGAGAATAATAAACCGGCTCGCCGCGAACTGGATTTGCGAAATCGTTTCTTTGACTTGGTTTTAGGTTTGTCCATACTTGTTTCTATAATTTATTGATTCGATTGCAAATGTACTTCTAAGAACAGAATTTGATTGAATTGTTTAAAAAAATATTGAAATGTTGTTGACAGAAGTACAAAACACTCACCTCCCAAACTAGATCTCATCAGTGTCTCAATCATTACTGTAAACATGACCCCAAACAAATTGCAAATCTTGTCAATTAGCCAGTCAATGATGTTGTTGTTGTCAATTAGATTAGTTCGTCGGGTTCAATCGATCGATCGACTGTTCGTTTGCAAGAATGGTTCAGTAATCAATCAAATGTCACCAGATTGTCAATCTCTGCAATATTTAGGTAAAATTTTTAATTTAACTGGCATAAACAATGTTGTTCTTGTCGCTGTTCTTGTGGTTGTTGTTGTTGTTACTGTAAGTGTTCACTTAACCGACATATGTCTGTCTGTTGCACTGCTAAATATGCGTATGAAATTGTACATATATTATTAATATCGTCGTTACAATAGACGACTGCCAGCCGTGAATGGAATCCGACGTTTTGGAACTACAAATTCCGCATTTGGTAACGGCCAACAACATCGTCATTGCGAGTATGAACTTAAATTTAGACGTCACTTAAATGTCATGTCTCACCATATTTGCATCTGATGCAGTGACATGTTGGTAAAGCTATGTTTGGAAAAAGTGCACAAACACACACAACACACTCGAACTTGAACACAAAGTAATCACAACTAACACACGGGAAACATTTCAAAAAAGGCATGCAAAATTGATTTTGTTCGCTGGGGTAGACGATATGAAGATCAGCAAACATTTTGAGAGTAAGTGTATTTTTTTTTAATAAAATTTTCACAAATAATAATTTAAAGTAAGTTATTAAAATACCTATGAGGTTTGTAGAAAAATGATCGGTATTTTAATACTGTTGTAGAGGTAATTAAGTTTTTGAACATTTGTGTGTAACATCCTGAGGGATGCAATATTGGCTCACGGTTTTTACGATATACTTACAATGATTTGTCCACACGATTTACAGGTCACATTTATTGTCCTACAGATCACATCTTATAACCAATTGTGTTGAAAATTAGCATGGCTCATTTACTTAGACCAGTGATCCCATTTAGACCAGTGATCCGTGAGAATCTGTTCAGGACTTTTGCATATATTGTCGAGATGAATATATACTGACATTCCCTTTTAAACCCTCCATTTATAAGATATCGAAATTTTAATCGGATATCCATACATGATTACATATTCATGGTTATATATTCATGATTTGAGTTGTTAATTTTGAAAGTGGCTTAAGTCCATTTTTATACCCTTCACCACATTGTGGTACAAAGTATTATGTCTATGTGCATATGTTTGTAACAGGCAAAAGAAAACCAGATAGACACATGGTCCCTTTTGAGAAAATGCATAGAATCTCTTTCTGAGTCGATTTATGTATGTCCGTCCGTCCATCTGTCAACGTTAAATTGTAAACAAATTACAGGTCGCATTTATTAATTTATGAATTGGATGAAATTTGGCTCAGCTGATTTAATTGACACAAGGACGAACCCTATTGAAATTGGGATTGAGTCTAGAATGATGTTTCGTGAAAATCGGTTCAGATTTAGATATAGCTCCCATATATATTTTAGTCCGATTCCATGTAAATGGTCCACCAAAGTCTCTATATTTCTTTCGATTTGGATGGAATATGACTCACCTCATTTATTTGATCCAAGGGCGAACCCTATTGAAATTGTGAAAAATCGGTTCAGATTTAGATATTGCTCCCATATATATCTTCGTCCGATTTAATGTAAATGGTGCACCAAAGTCCCTACATATCTATAGATTTGCAAATTTGCATTTGAAATTTGGTATAGCGTACTGAATTGAGTCTAGAATATATAAATTTTAGTCCGATTTTATGTAAATGGTGCATAAAAGTCCCTATATTTTTTCCATTTGAATGAAATTTGGCACAGCTCATTTATTTCACCCAAGGACGAACCCTATTGAAATTGGTAAAAATCGGCTCAGATTTAGATATAGCTCTCATATATATTTTCGTCCGTTTTAATGTAAATGGTGTACGAAAGTCCCTAAATATATATCTATCTATCGATTT